CCAATCCCTATTTGGTCCAGTTTTTAGTTTCACTGGAATATGCCGGGGTGTCAAATACGAGTAAGCCGAGTTTTCAGCTTGCTTGTAAGCCAAGTCTCTTAATAAATGGCCATCTTTATGCAGTATATGGATAGATGGCTGACATCTCAGTAGTAGACACTTGTTGTTGATCCTGGCGTTCGTTTTCTTGCTTTCTTTAGTTATTCTTTGCAAGGAAATGTCCCCTTCAGTTACATTCCCTGTTCATCCAGTTTTTAGTATAATTTTGTGCTTTATTAATAATAAAATTTTTTATAATATTAATACAATATTATGATACGTAATGGGATGATGAGAGGAGATACAAGCCACTGTGGAGAACGTACTGATTCGACCCTAAGGTTAAGTGCCCGACTCAGAGATACTTTGTGGATTGTAGCTGAGCAGTGCAGTGCTTGGCCTTAGTAATCCTGGAAGATGTGTCTAGCGGTAGGCTGTCCGAGACTTCGTTCCGTACTAAACTAAATAAATAGTATGGCTAGTGTGAAATGCCTGGAATTCCAGGTCCTGACTTTTTACGATTAGATCTAGCGCCACTGACTTGACTCTCTAGGATCTGATGTCTCTGAGCCCTGCTTTGGTGTCCTGTCGCCAATACGCACACCATTAACAAGTAGGCAGTCGACGAACCACGTAGCGAAATGAGGGTGTATACTGCCAGTCAATACTGCTGATGAATGCTGCCCCAATAGTGCTGGCGAAAACTGCTGCTTCAAGAGTGCTGGCCAAGACTGACCCTGAGTTGTTTGTTCGCCTTCTTTTATATTGTCTTTCCCGATAGCCCGCCGTTCGTCTCTTCTCACGGCGAAGTGATTTATAACTCCCCGTATGCCCGGGACATTGTTGACAACCTTCCTATGAGGCTTCTATCGGAAACGTCTCACATACACTTTCATCTGTTTACAAGAGTGGACTAGGGGATTTCCCGATTTTTATGATCTTTATAATACTTGAATATATTTTAAATCATCTGGCTTTTTGAAGTACAATGCGTCTCTTCAAATGTAAGATAGTTTACAATACCAATAGTTTTATATATTTATTACTTCGCTGAAATCTGCAGTTTCGTTTTTCAGGAACAATAAGACACATCCAACAGCTGGAAAGGCAACGAAAAAGAAAAGCACAAGTGATAAATCAAACGTAAAACTAGACGGTGTTACTGTGGAACGAGCAGCAGCATCAGCTTTTGCAAAACTCCGGAATATACCACGTTTTACTTCCGTAAAGGATCATCCATCACCAATCAAAGAGCTTGATGAAGCTGACGAAGCGCTGTTCAAACAGCTGCCACTAAAAACTAACAACGGCAGCAGGTTAAGAACTGGGCCCGCGCATCCGAGTGAAAGGAGAATTGAAGAGATCGAAGATGATACTTTGAATTCTGTTTCTGTAGATTTTGTTGAGGATCCCTCAGAAAGTGATCGCTTGCTAGGTGACGCAAGTCCCGCAAGTCGACCGGAATCCAGTAGTTTGTCCGCAAAAGCATCAATCGAGCATGCCTTATCTTTTGAGGATTCAAATTCGTCCGAAAGCTTTGAC